GTAGTCCGACGGTCGCGCCGCTCATGTGCGACATTTGTGATAAACATTGATTTTCCCACAATCCAATGCGCTTTTCTAATGAAAACACGCATTGACGCTGCAGGTCGGCGTCTTCTACACCGTGCTGGGACAGCGCTTCCTGTGACGACACGACGGAAAACACGTCTTTGCTTATATGAGACCAATGTCTCGCGCATGCGTGGCGCGGCGACCGCCCTCTCACTGGCATATAATAGGAAGAAGTTATTTTAATACTGAACGACGATTTATATTGAATGAGTAAATAATATTTCTAGGTAAAAACGCAATGAAATCTGTATAAATATTAATTTATAATAAAAATAGCTAGGCGAAAACGGAGCCGCAGCATTCCTGTGAAGTAACAATCGAACAGCCTCGCCAATGAGAATGATCTTGAAGAGATAATTTATGTCCGATTTATATTGGCGTTTAGCAATTTATATTTATTATTCATAAATATTGATTTATATTTAATTCTAACCTAATGAATATTCATCATCCTGCGTTGTGTCGTCACAGGAAGCGCTGTCCCAGCACAGACGTCAGATCGGTGTAGAAAACGCCGACCTGCAGCGTCAATGCATCATCCTGAGCATATTATCAATATATTATTGAGACTTTGTGGCCGAAGTAGCCGGGGATGGTTTGCGCCTGTGAGCAATATCATATCTTTGAAAAAAAGAGAATATTATTTGTCGGTAAAGTATGCATAATAATGTATGGTAGGATGCATGAATCGCAAATATATGTCAAACAGAATGTTTTTTAATTTTTTGTTGACGTGTTAATATCATGAATACTGAAAGGGAGGCGGTCGTCGCATGGGGCGTGTTCGAATTTCATGTAAACAAACAATGTATTTTACACGCGTTGTGTATGTTCCATATATCGAACAAGGTACTGCGCAGTTGCGGATCTAGAGGGGGGGGCAGGGGGGCATGGCCCCCTCCAAACGCATGACGATTCATATCATCTGGATTACGCATAGGTTCTCTGCGATTTACGCTCCGTATATCTTTAGCGGAAGCTTGCCCCCCCCCCCCCCCCAAATACATTTTGCTGGATCCGCCACTGGTACTGCGCGACGACCACCACCCTCTAACAGCAAATAGTACCATTTACATGCGCCGTAATCCCTTTTCATGAAAAGATTGAAAACATGAAAATATTCTGCACGTGCTAAGATCTCGTTATGTGAACGTAGCTATATAGTCGACCATTCAGTTGTTCCAAGGTCGCTAGGAGTTCACTCAAGCGTAATGTATATCTACTGTACAGAACACACCGTACAATGCAGTGGCAATAAAACACGTCGAGTCTATCAAGTGCTACAATAATCAATCAATTACGTTTGACCCTCCCACTGCTGCACTTAGTATGACCTGTTACATTTGTACTTGGGTGTGTTATACTTTCTGTCTGAAGAAATTAAAGCGCTGTGGTCGTCGCGCAGCGCGTGTTCGAATTTTATGTAAATAAACAATGTATTTTACACGCGTTGTGTACGTCGCTAAGAGTCTCATATCGAACAGGACGCGGCACGACGACTGCCGCCCTTTAAGTATCACTAATTACTAAGCCCAATGATCTGACAGTGAGGTAACATAGGTATCCTTTCAATCTTACTATACGGCGCAAGGTTGGCGTACAGACTCGCTTATTAGCGCGTTAAGAAGTGAATCTGCCAAGTTTGAGCGTGTACTTCGGATATCTGGTCTAAGAACAACGTGTGCTTTTAGATATCTGGTCTAAGAGAAGAACAGCATATTACATTATTTTGTAAATTATTGGCAATTTCTACCATGATAATGCATGAACCATGACGAGAACAAGCCATTGATATTAGATTATGTCAATGTGGTAAAACAAAAACAAATAGACATGTAGCTCGATTCCGGACGGAGTTACTGCAACAGCTGAATTATTCAAATAGTTGATGGTAAAAAAGTCACAATAATGATTCTCAGTCACCTTGGTAACACTTTCATTATTCCACAATACCGATTATAGGTGTGTTGTTCGAAAAGAAATTATTGTTTTTTTTAATGATCAGCACGTAATTTGGCTGATACTTGGTGACAGCTTCAAGACTACGCTTACTTATGATATACTTTCTCCAAGTTGTCAGGATAACAACGACCTTTTAAAGTATAACTCTGCGATCATTATTATTTTATTATTTGATCCTTGGGGTTATGTTGTGAATTAACTGATGGTGCGAATTTGCGCGAATTGTGCAATGTTAAGCTTTATATTGTCAATTATTGTTGAGGACCGAATTTTAGTCATCGTTTCAGCTTCTCTTTTGTGGTTGTTTGTTTGTTTGAATTTCATTTGCTTATGCTTTTTGAATATATATTTGAAAAATGGCAAATCCGGACGAATTATCTAATATTAAATTAAATTTTACTAGTTACGAGATCCCAATAAAGCTTTACAATTGATCTCAGAGGGCAACTTTAACGGCAGAAAAATACAGTATTTTGATATCATTTGATATAATTACGTCAGTTGACGTTTTTATACATCATTATTTTTTGTGTTTTGGTGCATTGGACGAAATTATTCTTTGTGTCCTTATACATCTTTATTCTTTGTGTTTTAGTGCAGTTGACGTAATTATTTTATGTGTTTTAGTGCAATTGACGTCATTATTCTTTGTGTTAAAGTGCATTGGACGAAATTATTCTTTGTGTTTTTATACATCTTTATTCTTTGTCTTTTAGTGCAGTTGTCGTCATTATTCTTTGTGTCCTTAAACATCATTATTCTTTGTGTTTTAGTGCAGTTGACGTAATTATTCTTTGTGTTTTAGTGCAGTTGACGTCATTATTCTTTGTGTTTTAGTGCAGTTGACGTCATTATTCTTTGTGTTTTAGTGCAGTTGACGTCATTATTCTTTGTGTTTTAGTGCATTGGACGAAATTATTTCCTTGTGTTTAGTGCATTGGACGAAATTATTTCCTTGTGTTTTAGTGTAGTCGACGTCATTATTCTTTGTGTCTTTATACATCATTATCCTTTGTGTTTTAGTGCATTTGACGTCATTATCCTTTGTGTTTTAGTGCAGTTGACGTCATTATTCTTTGTGTTTTAGTGCAGTTGACGTCATTATTCTTTGTGTTTTAGTGTAGTTGACGTCATTATTCTTTGTGTTTTAGTGCATTGGACGAAATTATTTTCTTGTGTTTTAGTGTAGTTGACGTCATTATTCTTTGTGTCTTTATACATCATTATCCTTTGTGTTTTAGTGCATTGAACGAAATTATTTCTTTTTATTTTAGTGCAGTTGACGTCATTATTCTTTGTGTCCTTATACATCATTATCCTTTGTGTTTTGGTGCAGTTGACGTCATTATTCTTTGTGTTTTAGTGCAGTTGACGTCATTATTCTTTGTGTTTTAGTGCATTTGACGTCATTATTCTTTGTGTTTTAGTGTAGTTGATGTCATTATTCTTTGTGTTTTAGTGCATTGGACGAAATTATTTTCTTGTGTTGTAGTGTAGTTGACGTCATTATTCTTTGTGTCTTTATACATCATTATCCTTTGTGTTTTAGTGCATTGAACGAAATTATTTCTTTGTGTTTTAGTGCAGTTGACGTCATTATTCTTTGTGTCCTTATACATCATTATCCTTTGTGTTTTGGTGCAGTTGACGTCATTATTCTTTGTGTTTTAGTGCAGTTGACGTCATTATTCTTTGTGTTTTAGTGCAGTTGACGTCATTATTCTTTGTGTTTTAGTGTAGTTGACGTCATTATTCTTTGTGTTTTAGTGCATTGGACGAAATTATTTTCTTGTGTTTTAGTTTAGTTGACGTCATTATACTTTGTGTCTTTATACATCATTATCCTTTGTGTTTTAGTGCATTTGACGTCATTATCCTTTGTGTTTTAGTGCAGTTGACGTCATTATTCTTTGTGTTTTAATGCATTGGACGAAATTATTTCTTTGTGTTTTAGTGCAGTTGACGTCATTATTCTTTGTGTCCTTATACATTATCCTTTGTGTTTTGGTGCAGTTGACGTCATTATTCTTTGTGTTTTAGTGCAGTTGACGTCATTATTCTTTGTGTTTTAGTGCAGTTGACGTCATTATTCTTTGTGTTTTAGTGTAGTTGACGTCATTATTCTTTGTGTTTTAGTGCATTGGACGAAATTATTTCTTTGTGTTTTAGTGCATTTGACGTCATTATTCTGTGTGTTTCAGCACATATAATATAATGATGTCATTATTTTGTCTTGAACATGGAAGTGATGCGCCCAAAAAGCCAACATTAGAACAGGTTCTAGATTATTTCATCATTATGTTAGCATTTTCATGTTATTTTATCGTTATTGTATCATTATATTTTCGTTTTGTTAGCATTTTTACATTATTTCATCATTTTGTTCACATTTATGTATTATTTTGTCATTATTTTGTCATTATGTTAGCATTATTTGACAATGTTTATCTGTCTAATTAGGATAGTTTTGGTGTGCCGTCATACCAAAGCGGCGACGTCTCCTTAGATGCCATGTAAATCGAATGACGGTGGTCGTTTCGCGTAAGCAAACAGTGTTTGGCGCTGGGACCCAGGTCGAACACAGCGCGGTGCGACGAATGTTGCCCCTGCCCGGCACCGGATGAGTTTCCGGCGCGGCAAGACACGTACCCACAAATCATGGGTAATGATTTTGAATGGGTTCAAAGTGTAAGTGTTCGCTGTAAACAACACTGATTACCATTATTACTACCACTTGACAACATTAATTTAACATTCGAACGTCACGCTTGACGATCAGCCCCCCCCCCCCCGGGATGTGACCAGTCTACATGATGACTAATAACCATGCGCGCAAAGAAATAGAGTGAAAACGTTGACGAATCTTCAAGTACCTGCCTAGGGAGGCGATGTCATTCCCCACACTTTCTCTTTCACTGTACGTTAAGGAGCCTTTCTCATTGTTGTCGTCTTTTTTGCAATCTCACGTACCTTAGTGTAGCCGATCGACATCGACATTGACACTGGGTAAGTTGTTCTTTATTTTGTTTTTTAACAGTTTCGGTTTGTATGGCTGTTGTCACACCAGCCTGAGACTGTCGCCCACTGACGAACCCTTATATCGGTCGATTTTAGAATGAGCTTGATTGTTTAAGAGGAGAGCTGTTGCCCGCTAAGTTCAACTCGAAAAGTCCGAGGCGGTGAAGGAATGACACGAATAAATGGAGGATCATGTGACGGTGACCCATATTACTTCAAATACAGTGTCGTTGGGTTTCTGTTTAGGTCGCCTTAAAACCAACTCACTCGATAGCAACTCTACGTATTGTCGATTTTCATCTACACCATGTGTGAACAGTATCTGTGTTTTCGATTCCCATATCGATCTGCAACTTCTGATATTTGAAATGTGACGTATTCGCCCGTTTTCAGTATGACTAGTACCTGTTGGTATTTTTAGTTTGTATTTCAATGCAACGTTTTGAGTCTTTTTGCGTTCATTACAATCAAGGGCATGTCATGGTATGTAGAAAATCAAAGTGCCCCCGGTGCTTACCGTGGTAATGGACATTGCCTGATGTTGGTGTCAAAGTCATTCGTTGCTCACGTTTGTTCACTTTTGTTTTTGTAACACCTTATAAGGGGTGATTCAGTGGCAGGTGTTGCCATGGTAATGGTAGGACAGACTCAACAACAAAATACCCGGTGATAACTTTAGGCACTCACTCAAGCAAATTAGAATGAGATATGTCCAAGATTTTGACTGAAATAGGATATAGTTTGTGCAAAGCTACAACCCAAATCAAGATTTTGGCCATTGCCATGGCAACAATAGGATAGAATTTTAGAGTGCAGGTGTTACCTGCCTTTCAAGTTTGAACAAAATCGACCCAGCCAAAAAAATCACAGAAGAATTAATTCATATGTGAAGACGCACACACACACACACACACACATACACATAAAAGTGAATATGGGCAATCCTAGTGGAGCGGA